TGCCGGGTTGGCCCCGCAGCGTCGCCCCTCACCCCCCTGCTCGGCAATAACTACTGCAGTCTGACGGGTGGGGAGCCCGCTCCCTTCCCGGAAACTCTCGGCGGCGGCGCGGGGCTGAGCGCAGCCGGAACGGGGCAAGTTCGGGGACTTAGCTCTCGCCCCCTCTCCTCCACTGCCGCTTGCAGGCCGATGGCTGGGTTTCCCTAGCTGGCCTGTTGCCGGTGCAAAATGGCAGAGGGTTCGCCCCAAGCTGCACCATTCCCCGCCCATCCCCCATGTACCAGCCAGACGCAGTGTGGGTCCCGGCAGACCCGTCACAGGGGTATAATCCCCTTCCCCTCTTCTCTCCTTCCCTTTCCCAGCTGCGAGCACCCAGGGGGCTCAGCAGCTCCAATTGTCCAACTGGCTGGAGCACTTCCGGGTTCCAGTTGGTGCCAGACTATCAGGAGTGCCAGACCACTGGATGGCAGACAATTGGAGTTTTACTGTACTCTGTTAATACAAAGTCTTGTAAAACATTTTAGAAGGTGCACATTATTATTAAGAAAACATGATTTCATTGATAACACTTTTTTGTTTAGTTTGTAGTAAATGAGTTTCCTCATCCTTGTGTAGCAATTTATTTAAGCTATTTTACATAATCATAAGGATATTACTACTTTATTCTTACTAATGCCTTTCTAAAACATTCAACTGTATTTCAGGCTCCTGTCTTTTTCTGCCACTTGATCATGTTGTTTTGTCTGAGCAAAGATTTTTTTCACTGCAGATGAACCAAAACTCAAAAGTTTGGAATCTCACTTCCCCAAATTTCTATGGGGATCAATTGTAGTATTTTGAGCTGTTCTATAGATTGCACTGCTCCTTGTTGAGAGCTGCACCAGTTTATACTGCAAACCCATAACCATTACAGAAAAAGGAGCTTTTTCATTTAGATTGAAGGTGAAATGTATAAGTATCCACTAAAACAACTGCTTTTTACTTTGTTGGGTAGCTGTTTCAACATTATGTGCTAGCAGTATAATACAGCAGAAATTAAGATCTATTCAACAGCAGTGATTTGTGAGCCTGGAAGATAATATATGGTCCTACCATTGTAATTAGCAGTATATTAGATTGGTCTGATACAAACTCTGTTTGTGATGCAGAGATGGCCGGGTGCTAGTAACAGGAGGAAAATCAAATCATCTTCACGTGTGGTGTCTGGAATCAAAACAGCTGTTAAGAATAATCCAGATGCCTACAAAAGTACGAGCTGTTCGCCATCTGGAATTCCTTCCTGATAATTTTGATGGTGGTTCTAATCAGGTCAGTTGTGTAGGAAGTTTAAGAACAAAATCACTTGGTTACTTAACTGAAATCACATGCTTTCTGAGACTTGCTTTTCTTATTCTAGCTGTGGGAAGGTTACTACTATATTTGCTGCTTCAATATTTTTTATTTCAGAATCTTGAATTCGTTATTTTCTTTTCTATTTTGCATTAAGATTAATTTATAAAAGTTTTTTATTTCTAGGTTCTTGGAGTTCTAAGTCAAGATAATATTATGAGATTTATCAATATACAGACGTGCAAGATTCTGTTTGATATTGGGAGTCATGAGGAGGGAATCAGCGCAGTAACTATTAGCCCAAATGGACGGTATATTGCATCAGTAATGGAAAATGGTAGCCTCAACATATATAGTGTCCAGGCTTTAACGCAGGAAGTAAATAAGGTAGAGTTGTAAGTAAAGTAAATCACAACAACAGCACTGAAATACCAATGTAAGTCAATCTTTCCACCCCAAAAGATCAATACTGAAAAGACAATTTGTTACTGTGTCATTGCCTTATATACATGGTAACTGTGTAATATAAGTTGTGAGATAAATAACATAGGGATTCTAGTCCTCCCTTTGTGGTTATTCCACTCTGTTAGGCAAACTGTGTTTTAAAAAAAATATTTAATCATTCTGTCTTCCAGTTTTTCTGTACTTCCCGCAGCAATTTAGTCTTTGCACATCTTTCTATCAGTTTGGCTTTGATCATACAGCTTTTTGTTCATTTCCTTCTTGGAAATACCATGCAACAGATATTTCCTTAACTGCAGACACAAATGAACATTGATGCTGTGTTTGTCAAGAACTATTCACAGTTTATTCATCAGGCCTTGGAAGTCATGATTATAAAACGGTTTTATATAGTCCCTTATATATATATATATATATATATAAAATAAAGACCAGCTTTTATTTGACTAAGAAAATAACTTCTGTTTGGAGACCTATGGGGAGACAAACATTTCTAAATCCAGAATGCTGTAGATCATAAATCCTCACACACTAAAAGTAAACATGTAAGGACTACTTCAGGGGCTGGCAATAAAAAGGCAGCAGTTTACCATGGTTAGTCCCTGGCAGGCCACTGCTGCTATATTTACCTGCACCTCCACAGATACCAGTGATTACAACTCTTGTTGGCTGCAGATTGCCCTTCCCAGCCAATGGGAGCTCTGGGAAGCAATGCGGACCGGGACACCACTTCCTGGAGCTCCCATTGGCTGGGAATGGCAATCCACTGTCAAAGGAATCTGGAATTGTTGGTACCTGCGGAGGTGCAGGTAAATATAGTGGTGGAGGCTCTCCAGGGACTAACCCTCATGGACTGGATCTGGCCCGTGAGCCTGGACTACTCTGTAATAAGGGACTTGAGTACAGGCCTTTAAGTCCGATGACCTGAGTTCCATTCTCAACTTAAATGCTTAGTTGGTGTAGGACCATTGGGCAGCTTATGTAGCCACTTTGTTACTCACTTTTCCACATATTTAACATGGAATTATTTCACACTGTACATGGGTCTGGTGAGACTGTTTGTATAGTACTCTGAAGTGCAAAGTAGTATAGTAACACTCAAGCATTCTCTGAAGTAATTTAAACATAGAACAATACATATATGTTGGTCAAAACCACACTAGTATGCATCATTGTATATCTAATTCAAAAGATACATTATTTCTGGTTGAGTCAATGTTTGAAAATCAGAATTAAAATAGAACCTACATAAATTGCTTGTAACATATTCCATTAAGTGAATGAAAGTTAAACATGCGCTTATCACATCTGTCTGGGTTTTGGTTTATGCTGTGTGTGTCAAGTCATGTTTTATAACAAACATCTTTCAACATTGGTCATCAAGTGAAAGAGCACTCTGTATAATATGAATGGTGTTCTCATTATAAAATGTTGTAAAATGTTTTTTCTTACAGTACCATAGAATGTTAACTGTTGTATCATTCTTCTTTCATGCCAGCCACCAGCACCCTTGGTTAAAGTAGTTGAAGATTTGTCGAAAGGCAAGTTGGGAGCGAGTAAACTTACAATGAGAGTAATGTCAGGAAGGTCAGAGAGGCCTTGGAAATCAAAAGGAACTAAAACTCAAACCAGAGTGCTAAAACCACAAGTGAACTCATCGCTTGAAAATAAAGAGGTAAGAGCAAATTGTAAATACTGTAAATGTTTCTCTTCTTTAATCTGCAGCATTTGATTTTCATTGTCAGAATGAAATGAACCGGTAAGGCTCACCTTTAATTGACGAGGCTTGCCAATTACCGTGAACTAGTGGGGGCTGCAGCAGCCCCCATCCTGGCATTCCAGCCTGGTCAAAGTAGCCCCTGACAGCAGTGGGCCTGGGCCTGGTGCACTGTGAGCTGGGGTGCTCCAGTTTGGCCTCTCCTGCCCACCCCATTTAATCAGTTAATTTAACATTTCACTGGTTAACTAATTCAATGGAATTTTACATCCCTACTCTCCATTGATAGTTTCCCTAGCAATTACTTTTCTATATCAAAATGTTTGCTAACTATTCAGTATCTGACTTACATGCTGTTTGCAACTTTTGCCTTCCTTACATATCTTTGTTTTAGAGCTTCCATACAGGCAGTCCCCGGGTTACGTACAAGATAGGGACTGTAGGTTTGTTCGTAAGTTGAATTTGTATGTAAGTCGGAACTGGTACATATTGTAGGGGAAACTCTAGCCAAACATTTCTCCAGAGCTCAGTTTTATTCTCCCACACCTCACTTCCCTCAGTCCTTTATTTTCAAGCTGAGGTGTCTGCTGAGAAAAGCCACTCTGCGTCTCTCTGGTCTGCTGGGGGGAAGCAGCTAGTGTGGGGTTGCCTCACCCCGTTTGTAAGTAGGGTTCCGATGTAAGTCGGATCCATGTAACCCGGGGACTGCCTGTATTCTAATTGTTAACTTTACTTCTAAACGGTTTCCAAAGGCTTTCACTTGGTTTAATGTTATCTATATATTTCATCACTGTTACTCTGATATCGCTGCTTATTTTCTTCATCCACCTACCTTGCCAGTTCTCAATTCTTGTTAAATTTCATGTGTAACTTTCTTACAATAATAATTACAGCAAAAGTATTTATTGCTGAATTTTATTTATATATACACTTATGATTATAGTATGACTTTATTGGCAATTTAATCATGTATTTTTGGTCATTTAAGGAGGTGGCTCTCAATCCCTTTCATGGGGGTATGCAAAACAAAGCAGACTCAAGTTTTACCTCACCTAAAAACTAGTTGCTTACAAAATCAAACATAAAAATAAAAAAGTCACAGCGCCCTGCTACTGACACATTGCTTGCATTCTCGTTTTTACCATATAATTATAAAATAAATCAATTGGTATATAAATATTATACTGACATATAGTATATAGAACAATATAAATAAGTCATTACATGATATTTTAGTCTGGACTGACTTTGCGAGAGCTTTTTATATAACTGCGTAGTTTTACTACAGGCTATCTAAATGAGTTGATGTCCCTGGAAATACCTCTGTGGATCCTCAGGGGTACACTTATCCTTAGTAGAGAACCATTGGTTTAGGACCTGATCCTATTCCAAATGAAATCAGTGGGAATCTTTTTCTGTCAAGTTTTGTAGGTATTGAATTAAACCTTTAGTTGCAAAATGGCTAGAATACTGTGGCAGATACTATTTTTGTTTCCATTATAGCTTCTCTCTTTCATTTGCTTGTAATTTTCTGGAAACATTTTATTGGCATGATTAAATTGCCAATAAAGGCTTTTTTTCAACCCTAAGTAATATTTTTGAAAGTCTGAGCAGAGCATGTTCTACCATTTTTTGTTGAACTTAAACAGATGTACTTCCCTATAGAGTCTGACTAGAGATTTTACACTCAGATATAAAAACCTACAAATTGATATTTGGTTTGAGTCCTAGGGAACCTTAAATCAACACCAAAAAGTCAAGATTAACAGAAATAGATTTGGTATTTATGAAGTATTATTACTTTAAAAATTTCCTGACACCTTGATCCAAAAATCTGAAACCATTTAAACTAGTAAGCTTCAAAGTCCCCTGTTTCATTGTGAGAGGTTTACTAATCTACAGAGAGGTCAAACACATGTAGGTAGGATCCATTTTCATTAGGTATGTTGTGAATTTTTGTTTATATTAACTTTATCATAGTGCCAAAAAAATTGGGATAGGGCAGTCACTCAACGCATCCAAAATAATACATTACTTGCCAAAAGCTGCCTGGTGAATCAGTGGCAGAGCTGATATTAGAAGTAGGGGTTCTAACACCTACTCCTGGAATCTCACCATTATAAATTTAAAAAATAAAACTGTGTGTCCCCTATCAACCATGTCTACCAACTCTATGAATAAGAACTACAAATTATGGGGACAAAAACACTCTTTAAAATTACTGTTTTCCCTATATTTTAGAATGAGCTACCAGATGGATTAAACAAGAAACGTCTACAAGCCTTACTGAAAGGATTTGGAGAATATCCAGCAAAATACCGGTGGGTGTTGGTGTGCAAATTTAAAAATCTCCTTTGCTGTACTGATGTAACAAGGGGAATTTTCTTTGCTAAATTTATGTTTTATCTGCAGGATGTTTGTTTGGCGTGCCTTACTACAACTTCCTGAAAACCACTTAGCATTTAGTAGCCTAATAGACAAAGGTATCCATTCTGCATTTGTGCACCTAAAGGATGAATACCCCATGAAAAGTAGGAAACTCCTGAGAGTTTTACAAAGGTAAATTTATGTGACCGTTCACTGATGTTAACCCATTTTACTGGAACCATCTCTATGGAAGGTTGCTTTAAATTGCTAAATTAAGCTCAACATAAAGCAGTACCTCTTTTTATACCACAGTAGTTCTTATTTAGCAGTTTTCTGGTTGGTATGTTATATGGCTACAGATGCTTTCCTGTTTCAGCTACCAGAGAGTTAATTGTCCCCTATTCTTCCTGCTTGTATATAGAATGTCACAGTGTTTCTTGCTGTACTATAGTGCTTTTTAAAATACAAAACTTCATATGCCTTATCACGTTTTTGTGCTATGATAACCAAGAAGGCAGGGCTATCATATTCTAGGTGAAGCCAACATTTATTTGGTTAGTGGGATCTTCAGATAGGATGCAGGCATTTTCTGACTGTGTAACGTTTCATCTATAGATTTACCTATAAATATCACCAAAAGTGTTCCAGGCAAGTTTGGCTGATAATTCTGTACAAAAAAAAGTGTGAAAATAACAGATTCTTTATTAAACTTACATGAGCAAAAAAAAAAGTAAAATTAGGGATTTTCCTGTGCTAAACTAAACCTGTTTTGCTGTTTTGTGCCAGGATTTAATAAGAATTTTGATAGTACAGATTGAATCTCTTTCGTCTGGCACCCTTGGGACTTGACTGGTGCCAAACTAGAGAATTTTGTCAGACCGTAGGAGGTCAATATTGTCTAGTGGCATTACCATCATTTCCGCTGCTTACTGGGCTCTTAAAAGACATTTTAGGGGTAAATTAAAACTAGATAACATCACGGAATACCGAGAGGCAGGACTGATGAGAGTAAATAAACTTTATGGGACCATGGGAAGCTTGGCCACATCCTTGTTAAGTGGATATCCAGCTAAGTAAAATTATGCCAGACCATGGATGTTCCAGACCAGAGAGTGCTGGACTAGAGAAGTTCAACCTGTAGTGTAATATTGCTTTTCATGTGTTCTACAATTTCTAGGAACAGTAGAGCATATCTAGGAACTGACAAGCTAATTCTGCAATTCCCTAGTACTGCAAGTCTATTCTAGACCAATGCTATTTTAATGGATCTTGTAAAAAAAAAAAAAAAAAAAAAGTTTGACACCAGTATTACTTTCTGCTATATAATTACTGTTTATATGTTATGGCAAACTACACATGATTCTTCTTCTGAACAGGTATTTTCTATGTACTTGTGTGCCTTCATATACAGGACCTTATCTGCTTTAGCTCACTGGTCTGCTATCTTTGGTGAGACCCCATATATTCCTCTGCTAGCGTTCCCATTTGTAAAATTATTCCAGAACAATCAGCTAATCTGCTTTGAAGTTGCTGCTACTGTAATAGGTAAGCAAGAATTTTTACCATATACTTAACTTATTTAGTTTCCCCCAAATTTGCCTTGCTTAAAACAGAATAGAGTGCATAGGTTCTCTTATAACTGCCGAGTTCGTGTTCTGTTTTAAAATGTATAAAAGGCATCCTCCAGAAAGTATTATAAAATGCAGCTGTTGCAAAAGGACATAGTTATCAAACACAATTTAACTTGTAAACAGGCATCTTCATCAGTTTTTCTTATCAGTATCTTTAAAATCTAATCAGCAAAAGAATGTTTGTCCAATACAGTTTTGTTGTCATGTTAATCCTTGAATGCAGGCTTGAGATCTAGGGAGACAGTTGTCAAAAGAAAAACCTCTGTCTCCGTTTAAAGGTTTATTATACTAAGCTGGAGTGATCATTGATTAGGACTTACTAGCATTTAGTAGCTTGGCTTCCGAAGAAAAGTAGTAAATTTAAATATCTTGCACTGAAATTAGTCATTCCAGCTCCTGCAAAATGCAAACATTTGTTATTTTACAGAAGAACCCATTTTGCAAACACATAGTTTGATTGCAAAATAAGTATCCACCTGTGGTCCTAACAAGTTAAAATATTTTGATGCTCAGTGACCCAACCCTAAGAGCCCATTACAATTGGATTAACAGCATCTTTGAATAATATAAAATGGCCTTTTTGGATCAGAACAATGGTCCATCTTACCCAGTATCCTTAATTCTGAGAGTGGCTAGTGCCAGATGTTGCAGAGGAAATTAACAGAACAAGTTATTTTGAGTGATCCATCCCCTGTCATCCAGTACGATCCTGGCAGTTGGAGGGTTAGGAACACGTGGAGCATGAGGTTGCATAGCTGACCATTTGGCTAAAAGCCAGGGCTCGACAAATTATGTAATCTACTCGCCTGTGGCAAGTAGATTACAAGCCTCAAAGCTGGCTCAGACCGGTCTGCGCACGTGCAGACCGCAGAACCGCGCAGCTGGCAAGCGGAGCTTGCCGCTGCTTGGCGAGCCCTGCTAATAGCCATTGATTAGCCTGTCCTCCATGAATTTATCTAATTCTTTTTGGAACCCATTTCTAATTTTGGCTTTCACAACATTCTATAATGGCAAGTTCCACAGGTTGAACATGGGTTGTGTGAAGAAGTACATATATACATTGGAAAACAGATATATGTATAATGGAGAAATTAACAGATATTAAAATATTTGAGTCTGCAGATTATAGAATGTTGAATTTGTAAATACTGTAATGTAAATATACAAATCAAAGTGGAAGGCACATAATTTGAAAAGTAGGGTGACTTCCATAGTGTGCTATTCCTCGGTGTCAGAGTGATTAAGCGACAAGTGGTTTGTTTATTCCTTTTATAGTTAATTGGTGTCAACACTGGTTTGAATATTTTCCTAATCCTCCAGTCAATATCCTTAGTATGGTGGAGAATATCTTGGCACATCATGACAAGGAATTGCTTCAACATTTAATAAACTACAATGTAACTTCACAGGTAAAACTTCAACCTAGCTTCGTGGTTTATATATAACTCTTCATAAATGGCAGTGTTCAAATGCCTCATTTTAGTTTAAACCTTTATTTGCTCTTTAAATGAATTAAGAGTAAAATTTAGGAGTATAAATGTATAAGTAAAACTTGTAGGAGTATAAAGAACATACCATTTGCCTGAACATATGATCATCTGGCATCCTGTTGCATTAAATCATATGTCTCCTTATACATGCGTTAGGAGGAATTATAGTTGCCCTTTTTTGCAAGTGTACGGATTCATAAATTTATCAGGGAAAATTATTGATCAATTTTTATATAATTTGTCTTGGTTTTTTAAAAATATACACAAATGAATATGTGACTGAATTCAGTAAACAGATGCAGTAACATAATTCAAATATTAAATTAAGTTAAAATATACAGTTAATGAATATATTGATACTAAGAATAATTCTAATTTGAAAAATTATACATCTATTTGAGTAAATGATGAAAGGAAAAATGAGAGAAATACGACATGTGTAAACCATATCCAGTTCAACTGCATATGGTGAGGACCTCATCTTCATACCTTTTTGTCATAGTTCCAATGTGCGCTATATTTACAAATAAATAAAATTTCAGCATCAGACAGGAAAGGTCCCTCTGCATATTCAGATTTGTCTTTCTTTGTAATTCTACGATAGGAACAGGGGAGCTCTACTAATGAATTATTTTATTCATTTTCCCAATTAATGTAGCTATATGCCTGGCCTCTTCTAGAAACATTATTCTCTGAGGTTCTAACAAGAGAAGAATGGCTGAAAGTGTTCGATAATATCTTTTCCAACCATCCTTCATATTTTCTCATGATGGTTGCTGCCTATATTATATGTTCCAGATCTCCTTTACTTCACTGTAATCAAACAGAGGACTTTGAGGTAAACATCTTACATAGTAAGTCAGACCCTTGCGACCTATATTAGGAAAGTTACAGCCGAATGTTAATTATGCTGTATCTGTTTAAGCAATGTTCTCTAGTATCCGATATATTCCCTATAGAATTAATACAATATTAATCAATTTTTTGCACTTGGATATATCGACAAAGAGGAGCATAAAGAAATTTAAGAGCTTGCAGAAACTTTTTGTGTGTTTTAATGCCAAGAAAAATGTTCTTGAATTATGAAAAATTCATTACCCATTAAACTATTCTTTGTTTTCTGGCTCTCTTTCTGGAAAGAGAATTGAGATCTGTATGTTAGGACAATATAAAGTGGTTCTGGCATTTTGATGCCTCATTATTTTGCCTTCTAAAATGCAAGCATGGTGAGGCGGTCTTAGTTGGCTTCCTTTCAACTAAAATGAAATTTTGTATTTCTGAAGTTATGGGGGGAATTGGAGTGAAGAAAAGCATGCCTTATGTGGAAAAATCTCCATTTGCAAATATTAAAGCCTAATTTTGCAACTACCAGTGTGAATCATACAGTTGAATTCAGTGGGGATCCTCATATGAATACAAGTATTCACATGTGTATTGCAGAATTGAGGCCAGTAATGCATTAGCAGAGTTGAAAACACTTATCCTTCTCTCACTCACTATGGCAAAAAGATATATACATAAGAAAGAAGGTAGACTAACATTGCTAGCCTTTAGAGTAAAGAAAGTAAAGCAGAGCAAGTTATTTTAGGATTTAGTGTTTTGGGTTAAGTCAATTAAGCCATTGGATATGTATTTATGTATTAACTAGAGGTGCCAGAATAATAAGATTTTCTTTTAATCAACTTTTAGTATACAGAATAAATGAATATATTGTCCTACCTATTCGGAAGGCATAGTGACGTGTTGAACTTTTTGTAGGATTTAATATGAAAACCTTTTTCTTCCAGTATTTTTTCCATCATCGGAACAACCTGGATATTAATGTTGTGATTAAAGAAGCCTATCATCTTATGGAAGCTACCCCAGCAGATATCCATCCCAAACGTATGCTTGATGACTTCATACCACTCACAAAGGGCCAGTACCCAGTATTTAATAAATACCCCAAGTTTATTGTGGATTATCAGACTCAGGAGCGAGAGAGGATCAGACAGGATGAAATAGAATACTTACGAGAGAGGTATTAATGGGAAAATAAAAGGAAACCTTAACATTTGGAGGAGGGCAGATATCTGTTGGATTTACTGGAAACTAGAGAAATAATAAAGGCTAGGCCAACTTTTTAAATGTACAAAACCAAACATCTTTGTCCTACCATACCTATTCTCCAAGGCAGGCACAGCCAGGTACCTCTGTGCACTGCCCACAGGTGCTCCTTTTACAGCTCCCATTGGCTGCATATCCTGGCCAATAGGAGCTGGAGAGCCAGCACTTGGGGTAGAGGGCAGTGCACTGACGCTCATGACCATTCCTACATTAAGGAACCAGAGGGACATGCTGGCTCCTTCCCAAGTGCCAGGCAGGAAGCCTGCCAGCCCTACACTAACTGGACTTTTAATAGCCAATGAACAAAAACCAGACACCTGTATGCACTTGGAAAAGGACAGAATGTTTAGAGAAATAGAAGAAAGTGTATGTACACGTCACCTTTTGATATGTCTCTATTTGGCTTGTTGGATTTCTTAGTTAAATGGATTACTTGGCATTAATTGCTAAAGTAATGTTAAGCTTAAAAATCAACCCATTAATTCTCGAGAAACACCTATAGCAAAGTTTTCAAACTTGGGTGCCTGAAGTGAGGCACCTAAATCCACCTTAAAATGGCAAAATAAAAATTATCTGACTTCCAGCGATGCTGGAAGTGGGAACTGTGGATATTCACTTCTGAAAATTAGGTCAGTTTTACTTAAGCATCTAAATAAGGCTTTTGGTTCCTAACTTCAGTAACCCAGGTGCGTGAATTTTTATTTTAGCAGATTTTTGTAGTTAAACTAATCTGAAATTCTCTTGTCAAAGAAAGCAGTTTCAAAATCTTGTTGAGCAGCTACATGTCTGCTATAGCCTGAGAAGTATTGGTACCTATTATGATATTTGATGCTTTTACCCATCTATGCAGCTGGATGCTATATAAGGCAATCCATGTAATCCTCTTGTCATAATTCTTATTTTCTGTTATAGGCTTCTTTTTGGTGTTATAGTCAATTTGCATTAGAAGACATGATCCAAACTACTTCATTACTGGGCAATTTGAGCATAGATATAGCTTTTTATCATAATCTTGTTTAATATTTTTTCAATATATGACTAACAGTTTTTACTATCTGAATACTTTCTTGACATCTATTTTACTTTCTATGGTAATATATACAATTTTTGTATGCAGACAATTAGTTCACGAAATAGAAGCTAAAGCAATACAGCGAAAAGTAGAAGATGAGGCATGGTATCGGAAGCAGGAACTGCTTCATAAGGCTGAAGAACAGAGGAGAAAAATTCTGCTGCAAGAAGAGGAAAAACTGACAGATCAAAGACAGAGGTAGTAGCGGTAGTATGAACCATGTGTACAGCACCTTGCTACTTAACCTTTTACCACAAGTAGAGACAAAGATGGCTACTATTTTGTTCAAATTGTAACGTGGGGAAGCAGCATGATCAAGTGGGTAGGGCATTAGACTGGGAATCAAGTAATCAGGACTGTGTTCCTGGCTTTGCCATTGACCTGAAGTGTGACCTTGGGCAAGTCATACATTTTTCCAGTCCCACTTTTCTCTTCCCCCAGATGGCTTACTGTCCCTGTCTCTTTAGACTGTCTTTCACTGTATGTTTGTGCAGGGGAGCTTTAAGTTCAATAGGTTCCTTTAGCTGTACTGTGATAAAAGCCCTTTATAATAATTTGTGGATATGCATCCTCATTTCCATTGGATTTATGTAGAAATAATCTTAGGGGTTATAAACTGTGAGAGAAACATGGGATCCCCAGAAGATTTTTTTTTTTTAAAGGAAACGGGGATTTTTTTTTTTAGACCCAGAAAACTTGCAGTTTTTTTTCTTTTATTGAGAGTTGTCGGTTAATGAAGTTAAGCAACTTTCCATATTTACTAATGAATGAGGAGCACAGATCTGGTGTACTATTTTTGTGAAATTCTCTCAACAAACTAAAGTGCTGCTTTTTTTTTTTTTTTTTAATTGACACCAATAATAATAAAAGAACTGATGGAAATTTTGTGGGAAATGAGCAGTGTGTGCCACTCTTTGGATTAAAATTTGTTTTATAGCAGTGTAGTTTTTAATTCCAAAATAAAACTGTTGTGTCAAGAGTGTTAGTGGGTTAAAGAGAGTAGTTTGTGACCTGTAACAGTTAATTATGATGAAACATCACACTTTTTAGTGTCAGTCTTCTACCTGTGGAGGCTTATTTGTTCTTATTTAATGTTTGCTTTGAAGACTAGCAGCTGTGAAAAGGGAATTGAAAGTAAAAGAGCTCCAGCTATTGGATGCTGCAAGAAGACGTTTCCTGAAACATCAGCAGGATCAGCGTCAAATGGAACTAAAACGTCTGGATGATGAAATTGCAAGAAAGGTTTGTTTTCCTCATCTAAGCAACGTTTCTTAAAAGTAACTAAGAAAAAAATCAGAACTCATGGGTAATTAATCCAATTATAGCATGTTTTATGAAACAAGTTGCATTTTGCCAAAGTTGGGCTATTGTGTGGTTCATTGATATTTATGTAATTCTCGCACCTGCTGCTGTTCACGGTTTATTTGCATTAGAAAAATTTCCTGAGAAAAGCCAGATTGATCCAAATGTTGGCATTGCTGAAAAACAAAGTGAGCTGCCTAGGTTTCTAAACCTACTAACTGAAATATTTTAAAATGTGTCTGTGCATTAAAAGGAAAGAGAAGATATCAAGGCCAAAACAACTTTTCCATTTTGTGGTTTTTACATGTATATTTCTTTCCTCTCTCTAGGTGTCCATGAGAGAGAGAGAAACAGCTGCTACTGTTCAAGATGTAGAAGTGCGGCAAATGGAACTTGAATCCCAAAGACAGCTTTTTGAACAGGTACACAGCAATGATTTACATACAATCTCTTGATTTTTTTCTATTTTTTTATTAAATGTGTATACAGGAAAAAAAAACAGATTATACATAAACTTCTCAAATATATTAACCACTTGATACCTAACCTTAACTGTATTGAAATACTGAAATATAGATAAATTAAGTATTTGTATTACATAACTTATGAACAAACAACTTTTTTTTGTAATAAAAATCCAACCAGTTAAGTACTGAAATAAGATAAAGACTAAAAGCAATGTTCAGAGCAGGGTGATAGAGACTGGGAGGAAAGGAAGTGGGTAGAAAAGAAGAGAGGCAAAAGTGGTGATGAGCCCTATGCTTTTAACAGTATCATTCAGATACTTCCAAGAAAGCATCCCATGTTTCTGAGAATTTTTCTTGAGTATTTGATACAGTACACAGTTCTTTCTGTGATGGCCAAGTTTATGATGTCTATTCTCTGGCCTTCAAAAGCTGGTCTTTTAGTGCCACAAAAATGGAAATCCAATAATCTTTAGTTAATTGTAAATGCTCTGCTGAGCCAAAGAGTGTTCAGATTTTTCAGCTTCCAATCAACATAGGAAAAATTTAACTATGCAATTGAATTTTTCTCAAAATATACAGGTATAGAAACATTTTCAGAGCATGTGGGTTGAGTTTACATCTGAATCACAGTGCAGCATTTTTCTGATTTAGCATGACCTGTTTTGAATAGTTGGAGTGGGGTCCAATACATTCTCTATGTGCTTTTTCTGCTGGATTAAACTTAAATGGAGGTCCAAGGGGCAGTTCAGAGCACTGGTTAAAATGTGTTTTCATTGGTTAACAAGGAATAAGTGGTGTAGCTCCTCCTTTCATTTCTTTTTCTTGTTTTTTTTTAAAGTGACTCTGTCTTTAATTGAGATTTGCTGCCCAGGTGTGGATGTTGGCAATCTGGGTAATATGTGGAGAAATGGAAGCAGTTCAGTGGGTTATTGATGGTGCAGATATCAGGGCCAAACAGATTGGAGATGGCATGTTTAAGTTGGATATGTTGCCACTCCTTCTTAGTCTCTAGATTGAATCTTTCTTTTAATATTGTAAAAGGGAGGAAGTTGTTTTTTTTCATTTAATAGTCTGATGGTCAGAATTCCTTTTACTAATATAGTTTGGTCAAATGATGGAATTGCACACTATGCAGTTTCATGTTGCCCTAGATAGAGGCCTTGATATATGGGGAGGGGATGACCTTAAATTTAGTAGATCTAATATGCTATTGATTTCTGGTTGCCACAATGGTTGGTAATTTTTCTTAGGGATTTGGTAGTAATCACATTGGTAGTGCAGCACATTGGAAAGGGGTAAAAGAGCAATGAATTCTGTTTCCAGCTGGAGCCAGCCCAATGTTGTACACCACAAAGGAATGAACCACTGTGCTGCTTGACTAAAATGATCATCTGGTGGTAAAGTTCAAAACTGGGCAATCTAAAACCACCTGTTTTGACAGGGAGCTGTAATCTGTGTAGAAGATTCTGGGTCTGTTACCAATAACCCACATGAAGGACCTGAATATCATGCTGGTTTTGGTAAAAATAAAAGAGAGTAATATGGAATGCAGAATAAAAAGGATCCTGGGAAGTGAGAGAGAGAACCTTCTGTCTATTAAAACTGTTTAAGTGCATGAGTAATGGGATTAGATTAACTTTGAAAATATTTTTAATTTCTGTAAGGAACAGGTACAAAGATATCTGAGGTTTGTCTGTTGCAATCTAAATGTCCCTATAGGAGAGCCACTTCAACCAGATCCAATGAGATCTTCACTGTGTCTGATTTATTCCAATTTATCTGGCAGCGAGAGAATTTCCTAAAGTTATTTGTGGGTATAAGGTTGTTGCAGCTCTCACCCTGTCCATCAAGGCAGGAGACCATGACCCCTCACCACAATACTTCAGTTCGGGGGAAATTAAATCTCCTGTTAGTTGTCCCAGGCCTGCAGTCAGGCCAGAGAGTGATAAGTCTGTAGGTGCAAGGCTCTCACTTGGGGCAAGGCAGTAATCAAGTGGGCTCTAACCCACAATAAGGTAGAGCAGACAGGAATTTAATTCAAGATGGGGTGGCGTTCAGTTCAGTTCTGGCTGCCATGAGGCCGAGAGATGTGGAGTGAGTTTGACCTGGAGCTAGGGATGTAAGCGATGAGTCGAGTTGCATAGGCTTATTGGGTTGTCAAGTGACTACTTAACTACTCTCTTTTTTCCTGCCCCCCACTGCCTCTGTATCCGAGGCAGCAAGGGGGAAGCAGGAGCCAGTGCTGAAGGGAGCTTCGAGGGGGGCAGGGTGGAATGTAGCAGAGGCAGAGCCATAGCGGTCCTGGAGCTGCTGCAAGTGCTGGCTCATACCAGCCCAGGAAGCTAACCCCCTTGCAACTCTGCACTTTAAATGTAGCAAGAGCCATAACCATAGCGGCAGTAGCGAGCCCACCCCCCTTATCAATTAATCGAGTAGTTGATAGAATTTCCATTAGCTAATTAACTGTTACTTAACATCCCTATCTGGAGCCCTCACTTATGGCAGGGTGGCAACCAGTTCAGTTCTGAGGAAAATTAACTCTCTGCTGGGAGTGTCAGCAAACCATCTGGAGCCCTAGTTCAGGCAGGGCCAGACCAGAGCAGGCCTCCTGGCCACAAAATGGGGGAAGCTGCCACCCTTGCTGGTGGGGTGTCAGGGCGTAAGGAAGAACACAGGCCAGCTTGGTTGTTACAAGGTGCACCTACACAGCTGGGTGAAGTACTGAGGAACAATTTGCCATCAGTAGAAATCAATCTGTCAAAGTAATATTGTTCCTCTCTGCAACTCCTGTGTTAGTCTGCGATTCCCTGCTGTTAACTAAAGTGATCAGTGTAGGGATAGATTTTGTTCAGCCATGGCAGAACTAAAAAATGTTGAAGTGTCAATAGAACTATTAAGAAACCGTTTATAGAAAAGAAGCATTTTTCTTTCAAAGTGTCTTCATTAGTATTGTTCATAAAGCAGTTACTGTTCTGTAATCCTGCAATGAAAATCAGAAAAGAACTTTATTGGGTTTTACTACTTAAAGATAGAAAGTCAATTTCACATAACAAATGGTTTCCTACCTATTAAAAATGCTGCTGTGAGCGGGAGCTTTAGAAAAATGCTAATTTAAGTTGCAGAGAACCAGCCAAACTTTCAAAAACCCAAGTGTGCCCATCTTGAACATGTTGCAAACTTGCATGCACAAAAGTGGACTTCTGAAAAATCTGACCACTTATTTCCAAATGTACCTTCACTTCACTTGTATGTGATTTAAAAAATATTTATTGCCATATGAAGTTTCAAAATCTATGCTGAACACAATGAGGTTAACTGTCTTTAAGGGTTTACTTATTAAATATATAGTCAGCTCCGGTTGGGTACTGTGCCTATGCAACGCAAACTTGTCTAAACCTATTTATACTAAGTATCTGTAAAGTCAGCAGTTTAAAGAATTAGTCTTATAATGATCAGGGCCTTTCAGGATAAAGGGGTGGTGCTTATTTAGCTAATTGTACTGAGTCAGAATTTCATTTTAAGTTTGATTTCTAGCTGTGCCACTGATGCAGAGGGTGAAGGGGGTAGGGTGAAGGAAGCCCATACGCACGGGGAGCCGGCTTTTAAGCACGCTTCCAGTGTGTGCTGGCTCCATGGACCTGCCTGCCCCTCCCCACTTGCTGCCTCCTGTAGGAGGCAGCAAAGGGGGGTAGGCAGGAGCCAGTGTTGAGGGGAGCCAGCTTAAAAGCTAGTTCTCCCTGGTGTCGCCACCTCTTGGTCCCCACACTTCTTCCTCTGAGAAGCAGCAGCATGGGAGGTGAGGGCTGGGGAGGCTGCTGCGAAACTGCCTCTGTTTGCAGTGCTGGATGCACCATAGACAGAGACTGGTCCACAGCAGCAGCCCCTGTCTGCAGGGGATCCGAGCTCCCCGCAGATAGAAGCTCCCATTGAGCAGAAGCTAGTTCGTGACCTCTAACATGCCTACTATTGATGTACAAAATATTTACAGTGGGCCTGATTCACCATGGTAGTATTACAGTCCTGATGACTTAGTCTCGCCATATTTTATTATGAAGTGGATTAAACTTTCTAGAGGAGGGGGATATCCTTGTTGACTACATGAACTCTCCTGCCCCTCCCCCCCAGCTGCCTCTCTATCAGAGGCAGCAAGTTGTGGGGGGAAGTGGGAACAGGTGCCCGTGAGGAACTGGCTTTAAGCAGGCTTCCCATGTGTGCTGGCTCTGCCTGCCACATGTTGGGGGGGGAAGTGGGAACAGGTGCCCGTGAGGAACTGGCTTTAAGCAGGCTTCCCATGTGTGCTGGCTCTGCCTGCCACA